GGTGTTAAGATGAACCAAATAACCAGTGACGATGAGATCTCATATGCCAGGCTCTTATTTTATTGCTCTTTTTTGTCATCAATAGGTGTAAACACCTTATGATTTTCAACTTAATCTACCATTCTGTGATTAGATCAAGTGACTTCAACCCTGGTCCTGGTGAGCCCCATTCCAGTAAGTCTTATAGGTCACACTAAATCACCTGTTTCTAAAGATTACAAACACTTGTAAGTTATTGGCCAATTAAGCAATAAGCAATGTCCAATTAAGCAATAATTAAGAAAGTAATGTGCTCAATTAAGGGAACTCGGCACCTTGAGGGCTGATCATTTCTGTGCCAAATGCTTTCTACGTTACTTAATTTTGCACATCGCCTCCCAATGAATTACAGTTAAACTACTCTGAGTCTTTAGAAACCTGCGATTTAATGCTTACATGTAAAACCTGCTGGTTTGGTTTAGGAGTAGGATTTGAGAACTGCTTTTTAGACTGAAACCAGAGCCACTGAATTCATTTTACTGAAACTCATTGTGCATACTACTGTCCACCACCAACACCATAACTCCTCTGCTTATGTCTTTAACCAAGAGCCCCAACTCACAGTCGCAAAATAAATGAGAACAGACGCCTCTTTTTCCATCCTCTGGAATTTTCTGGTATTAACTCCCCCAGGTTTGAGGAATGCCATTGTAGCAAAAGCAAATAAATCCCCCTTTAGAACATTTTCATTCAATTCAATTTATTTTTATATAGCGCCTTTCACAACAAGTATCCATGTCAGAGTTATCAGAATTAAGGAAATTATAGGACAAATAATATTTGGGGGGACATTGATAGGTCATCAAGAAAGGGGTTAGAAATCAATTACCATTCATCGCATTCGTTTATGGGGGAGCGGTCAGGAAGTTGGGGGTCTCCGAGTATGATTGCGGAAGGAAGGGAAACCAGAATTCTGCCTCTTGGCCTCTCTCACTGCCGGAAGTGTGCCTGTCTGTAACTTGTTCGCTGTTTTTCTCCTCTTCAGATTATGTGGAGCCCGAAAACCAAATAAAACAAATGAACGTTGATTAGAAAAAAAAAATCTTTGCTTGCTTGTGTTCATTTCTGAGAGTTATATCAATGCACAGCCTCTACAACAGACTCGTTATCTGTATCTAAACTTTCCAAATACATCTGACAAATTTGAATCTATTTCAAATCTTTTTGGATTCACTATTTATCAGTTTTAAAAATAAATTAATATAATTAATTGTAAGGTCCCCTGTTAATTCTGGGACATATTTGGTTATATGCTTATCCTTACAAGATACAGTATGATTCGACAGTATGGTTAGGGGCTAATGGACAAGTCGCTTCATTTCATTTCTAAAAATACCTTTTCAACGCTTAGAGCTCTGAACCTCATTAAAAACCTGACAACCTCAATTAAATGTTGCAAAGCCTGTACTTGTTGCCCTCATAGCGAACTCCTGAGATTCTGAAACCCGTTATATTTCTTCCTTTACCTAAGAATTAGGTTTGCATTGTAGCGTAGTGATTCGTACCTATAAACGTGTTATTATACAAATCTTCATAAACTAATATTGTTTTGCTAATACAAGACAAATAACGAACAAAAATGCACGTTTTACCTTCGAATATATTTTTCCTACCTTTAGGATGAGGGAAGAAAATAAAATAGTCTTTCCCGAACGCAGTGTTTTTCAGATCACAGGAAAACATGAGTCGCAGTTGGGCTACTTATAGAGATGGGAACCAGTAGGTACTTTGGGGGGGGGTTAACGGGACCGGGCTGAACGCCCGTCGGGAGCCCGTGTAGACGAATACCCGCCAACACCGCACTCGAGCAGCGCGGCTCAGGCTGTGCCTCGGCCCGGCCGATACGATGGACGATCCACAATGGACAGCAGGTTTAGCAAGTTCAAGAAGCACCCCGAGTCAGCACATGTTCACCCGAGAAGGTCTAGAGTGGCAAGGTAATAATGATGTATTTTCCAATTTGCAGGTAAAAATGTCTGACTGCAGGGAGGATGGGTGAATTTCGCTTTCAGCAACAACAGTGCTATTAAGTGTGGAGTGAAATGCATTATCATATAAAAGATCATTTCCAAGGAAAAAATCGATAGTATGCTGCTTGCGTTTTAAAGGCAGATGATTCCCGCCATTTAGGAAGCCAGTGTTTTAAATTGAATTTACAGATGATTCAGGGGTTAGTTCTCCTTAATTTAGAGCTAAAACCTTCCTTGGCTACGACTTATGCTCTGCTTGTTCTCCCAGTTCCCCACATTGTACCACGGCGGATAACAATTTAAATTATGACTCATAGTTTGAGGAATTTGAAAGCGTGTTAGATTATTATATTCCAGGTTTTTTTTCCTATGGATGAGTCAGAAAACGTCTTTTATACCGATCTGGGTCACGGCTCGAAAGTGTATTTTTACAGGTTAATTTCTTTACTCTTTCTGTACGTGTTATTTTTACTTCAGCATATGCTACGTTTACAGAAAATGCTGATTATTTTATAAAAAAAAATGTTTCTCTGGTTAAATACTCGCTACGCAGTTCCGATAGCATTAAACGACGTTAGTTTGTCGTTAAATGAACAGTGTTACTGATGCTGTTTTTAGGTCAAACATTTTTTGGCTTGGTTTTACAATTGTCATTTATGCTAGATTTCGGTGTATGCAACACGCAAAATAGTTTAACCTGTCGCGTAGCAGAGAAGAGGGGAAAACTCTTAAAACTCTCAACCAAACACAGTCAACCATTCGGCTATCTAGCCCTTCTGGTAGTTAGCAGCTGATTCAAGGAACTCATCCATTTATTGTAAGAATCCAGATTGAAGACTGCAACCTCATACTATACAATACTTGTTCCACAGCCCCACAGTTTTCACGGGGGTCATCCGGATTGTGTTTTTGCTGTTAATCGATTTCTCTGTGGGATTCAGTGAAAAGTACCCTTGAGGATCTCAGGTCCCTTGTTGTCTTCCTTCAAGACGAAAGAGACTCAGTTTAGCTTGTCAGTGTACGATCAGAACTATGTGGTTCAAAACCTCCACAACACTGCAAGCCAAGAGAGAAGATCTCCTGTCCCCAACAGGTTGCAGTTAAACCAGGTGAGTAATGCATGCGATTATGGGGCCAAGGAAAGGAAACTGGTGAGAGAAATGAAACAAATTATTGAAAAAACACAAGAAAGCTGACTAAAAACAAGGCAGCAGATCGCAGGCCTCAGCCACTGTTACACCAGTGTTGTCTGCGTGTTTTGGAAAATCTCATTTTCCAGTCCTTCCATTTTGGTGTGAAATTGTTGTCGGTCTTATTGTATTCTTCTCTGGAAGGGGACGATTGAAGTTGTGTATTAGCATCTCATATATATTGCAATATATTGAGATGGAGCGACTCAAGTACACACAGGCTGATTGGGGATTTGTAAAGTGAGATAAAGAGTGTGGTAGTTGGTCTCCATCCATCTGTTTTCTAACCACTTCACCCAATTCAGGGCTGTGGGGGAGCTGGAGCCTATCCCAGCAAGCAACGGGTGCAAGGCAGAGTGCACCCAGGACATGTTCAGAAATCCCAAGAGTTTACTGGTTCAAGTCCAGACTGTGCCATACCCCACAAATATTTTTTTTGTTTTCTGATGCAGTGTAACTGATATCCAAGATGAATGAGCTGTAAAATGAAGATCCATGAAGGGGTAAAATCCTAATCGCACCCACTTACACTTGTCGAATTAATCAATATTGTGCGTCTTGCGGATTTATGTTTTTGTGTCCCTCCTTCCTCCCGAATTTGCACGTACAGCTGTCACTCCCTGACTCGCGCCTCATTAACTGGAAGGGGGAAATTACCGACAGCCCCATTTTAGCATTTTTTGTTGCTCTCTGCGGCCAGTTGAGTTACCCCCAAAAACATCACTTGTCCGTCTTCATTGGCGTTTGATCAAATTCCTGCAAAATAAAGTATTGCTAACAAATAATGATAATAAGAAATTCTGTTTTATATATCACCTTTGAAAGCAATCATCTCAAAGCTCTTTTCAATACACAAAAAGCACATTTCGCAATAAAACGACATTCTCACACCACAGAAAGCAATGGTGAGGAATTATCGGGTAACACTATATGGGCTAGACACAATCATTCATTCTTTAAAGAAAGCAAATTGCATGAAATCTACAGCATAGGTCACTGCCTGGCAATATCCTCTGAGCATTTTTCTTGCATCTTTTTTTTTTACAATCATTTCAATTAATTTTGCATTATCGTTTT